ATGGCAGTACTTTAATGATTTTAAAAGTTTAGTGATACTTAATATTATTCGTTATTCCACAAAAATCTCATTTTATTAATATAATAACAGCAAATGAACTTTGAAAGATACAATGCAGTAAAATTTTAACAAAGCACATCTACATTCAATATTTAATCAATAAAAAATTAATATTTATTGTCATTATTCAAAGATATTTTAATAGAATGCATTGACACTCGGGATACTGACGTGTAATCACCAAACCCTCAACGAAAAAAACTAATATGTATATACAGAAGCGATTGAAGCTTGTCTCGGATGAATGTCGACCGGCGATAACAAGATTAACGCCTATGCTGGTATATAGCTATCAAAAACAAACGGTCGTCAATGGGCGGAAATTTAGCAATATTGGGGATCGTTGTACACAAGTGTCAGTCGCGTCGGCGATGCATCCGCCCTTGTCTGTCGGTTTTGATTGAAACGACAACATCTCTCTTTTAGACGCATATCACTCCCGCACTTGCGTATGCTTACAATCTGGCTGCGTCCAAATATTGAATCTCTGTATCAAATATACGGATGCAATTCGCCGTTACAAGTTTTGTTCGCTTGTCGCTCTCTACCGAACTATACGTACGTTTTCGTTACCGTTTCCACTTATAAAAACCGTATATATAACTGTTCGTAAAATTTATAGAAAATCAATCACGTTCTTTTTTTCACTTAACCTTTGTAGCCGCATACTTTTTGCATATTTCAATATTAGAACGGAAACATTTTCTAAATTACTGAAGGAGTAATGCGCGGAATGCACACTATCACTCGGTGCTGCCCGGTTATACATAAAGTCCAGTTTTCTTTTTTTTCCTCATAGATTTATTTTTCCAATTTTTTTCACTGGTTCATTTTTTCTCGTCTATTTTTTTATTGTTTCAAATAACTATATCGTTTTAGCACTTGAAAATCGGTGACGGTACAACAAAATTTAGCGCCTCTCCGGATTTGCGGATAAGTTTAAAGTTTCCCCCCGTCGCATACTTTATATATATCGGGCGTAACGCGTGGACCTAATCTTTTGATCCTATAAGCACGGTTCAGCGTGAAATCCTTGGAAGCTGAAGAAGTTAGTTACACGGGACTAATGGAACGCAGTAGGAACTCCGGATAATGGACGACGCTATGGCGTCGTAAATACTAGGTGCACTTCACTTACAAGGAAATCTAGTTTTATTTCTGAATTTCGCGGCAGATCTTCTAATGAAAAAGAAAAAAAAATAGTATATAAAGAGTGCAGAACAACGGAAACTTACATGTCTGCAGCGATTTATGACATATCTGAACTTGATTCCCTGCCAAACACTTCTTGTATATTTCGCGATTATTATATACATACATATTTGTGAAGAATAAATCCCAAATTATTATAGATGCAAATAATGCATTGTATCAACGGTATCACAAAGAAATAATATTGATTACGTTCAGATTAATGAAATATCTCTTTCTCAGTGGTTATATTTTCCTTAATTATTATCATAAGTTTTAACAAAAACCTGCAGATATTTTATATATATTTCGCCCTGTGTGTCCACATATTATTTTATTTAAAAAAATCACACACAGCATGTAGATTGTGAATATTAAGATCCCTTCAAACTGTCAAAAGCACTGTTTTCAAAAAAAATTCACCGTTAGCTTTTTGCCTATGTGACTGGTCATAAACTTTAAAGCCACGTAAACCTTTTTACTTCTCCGACAAGAGATCAGTCCCTCGTTAACGCGTTTCTTTGCCGGCCGAGGGGAAGCCGGGAGAAGAAGAAGAACCGTGAAGGAGACGTCTTCGTCGACGAGATTCGGCCGCCTTAAATCGAAGGCAAACGATCGTGAATTTCAAAGGTCTCTACTGGCAACTCGCGATTTAATCGCGTAACAGTTTGCCCGGCTTTTCTTTCCCCAGAAATAGATTTCCGACGTGTCGATTCTCCCTCGTTCCTCCTCCTCTTCCTCCTCCTCCTCCTCCTCCTCCTCTACCTTAGCGTGGATGTTTCCCCTCCTCCATTTTCTACTAACGGCAGGGAATTTATGGAGTTTCGAGCACGACCGAGAGCCGCAGTTTTCTGCTCGTGATAAATGCATCCGCTATTGTGAAATGTATATACACGCGCCTCTCGCAGGGGCTTCTACGTGTGCCTGCACTTTCAATTTTGGCCCAAATACGACGAGATTTGGTCGATGACTCCCGGTATAGTGCAAACGACCACCGCGAGTATTCGCACAATTCCGGCCTATTGCGCGAACAATGTCTACTGTAACGCGTGACTAATCGTAATTCATCGAGCAGATTTTTCTTGCATGATTTGTAGTTTCTGATAAAATCGCACGCGACAGATTAATGGAATGATTTGGAGAATAACAAATTTTTATAACGATCTAGTAGAAGGAATTGTATTTGTTGCTTTTATCGTGTATCTTTATAGTTATCATAGAAATAATATTTTATTTTTCTCTTTATGATTGTAGATTGATTAAGTCTTTATTAAATCTTGATTAAATCAAGATAAATTCAATTTATATTTCGATAAATATTCTATCAACGATTTCCAAAATCGATAAATGTTTTTCTTTCAAGTTTTCTTTTAAACGTTAAATAATTATTTTTAGATTATAATAAGCGTTTAAAAATAATTTACGTTTGCATTTTTAATAAAGGATTTTCCTTTTATTTTCTTTCGCATTTTCTAAATCCCTTCGCGTTTCAGCGGTTTTTTAGTAAAATATAAAAATTGCTTTATACAATGGGACAAAATCTGTTTTCCATTATTGAAATTTGAATTAATTCTCACACATACACACACACTCTCTCTCTCTTTCTCTTTCTGAATAAATAAAATATTTCATTGCGGAACAACGTTTCTACGAGACACACGAATTTCCTGATGTAATGTTCAAAATCGTTTTTTCTCCGATCGGCTATTCGTGAGGCATTCTCACGTTATTGTGGAAAAGAAGATTTTATAGGGCTATAAAATGCAATTTTTATATCCTGCTAAGATGTGAATCGCCAAGAAAACGAAATTTCAAGAGTTACTTCGCTGATGCACTTACCACGTCCTACCAGTAAATTGTCCGTGTCTATTGTATAACAATATATATGTATATAAAATATATAAAATATTGCATGCTGTTTTATAACAATATAAAAAGTTAAAATACATATTTTTGTCCGCATATTAAATACTCTACTTTTTATAGAATTTTTTCATATTTTTCTCCATTATTTCTATTTGTTCGTGACTTCCAATAGTCATAACTAACGAAACCAGATACTTATTGTTTGTTGTACGGTAATGATAGACATACTATAACAAACGAGAATAAACGCCTTCCTTGAAGCTGAGAGTAAAAGCGGTCGATACCGAATACGATTTACGAAGCTCGTTAAGCGCTGACGAATCGATATTCGCACAAGGCTTCGTTGGTTTAAGTATTAAAAACGGTACATAGCATCTACGAAAGTCCGTTTGATTGGCTTTTATTCTTCGATCGTACAGAAGCGTTTTTTCCTATCCCCCTTTGAAGTTTCCACGAACGGACGCCACGCTTTTGCGCGCTCCCGGGCTTTTTCTTCGAGCGACGCTGACTGTTAGAAAGTTGGGAGATACTTCTCTATCGTGGAAGAACGGTTGTTTTTCGACTCCCCGGACGGGCGAGCACCGAAAAATGGTGATGAGGAAGAGAGCCGTAGGGCGGACACTTTTTGGTTGCTGGCAGGGAATACGTGGGATTTGCGTCATATATGCGATGGGAATAAAACTTTTAGATCTTGGCAGTCGGTCGCGCGTGCAAAAAGCCATTGTGGCAACAATTACTATGAGACAAATTTTTCGCATTGCCGCAAGAAAAATGTCGACTTTCCTCATGAGAATGTATTTAGCCTTTTTATCGTATATATTGCCGTATATATGATTAATGTTGGGTAGCAACGAGAACATACAGATACACGTACAAAAGTTTTATATCTTAAAAAGTGCCTTGATAAATTATATCACAAAAAAAGAAGCTAAACTTAAAAATTAAGAAACAAATCAGAGAGATTTGATCTTTCTCTTTTCTAATAATGCAAAATATCAAAGTTATCATATTTCAACTTTTTAATTCCAATGCAAATTTTCATATAACGTGCACATAAGGTAAAATTTTAAATTGGAATTTTAAACAGAAGAGAATAAGATGAACTTTCAGACTAATTTTATCGAAAATTCACATTCCGATAAAATCATTTGTAATTCATCGAAATAATAAAATCGCGCAACAAACCACAGAAAAACAGTGAACTCGTTACGATGTATTGGCGTTGCTATCAAACGTGAATGCTATTCGTCTGGAAATTCAATCAGTTTAAACCAAATGGCGAGTAGGTTCCGGTGAATTCAAGTTAATGAAACGTTCCGACACTATTGGAAAATTTAATAGAGTGAATACGAGACCTCCTAAGGCAATCTCACGACTGGCGTTTGTTGTAAACGCATCTATTTTTCGCACAACCCCGTGGATTCATTATCAAAGTCGATTGTGGTAGTTGCCCGTTACAATCCCGATAATTGTCGATCGATTGTTCCAATTTCATTGGTTTCGCGGGCTACCATAAACGTGACACCTCGCATATTCTCTCGATCGTGCGTGTCCCATAATTCCTTTGAAACATATTTAACACGAAACTCAATATCGCAATTACGCTATATCGTAGACGATTGAGCCTTTCTATATTTAAATATTATTAATAATTTTAAAAATTATTTTTAAAAATTACAAAATCCATAGAAAAAATTTAGAGAAAAATTCTAGATAAATTGTCAGATGTCAGAATGTTATAATGAGACCTCGCAAAAGTAAAGATTTTACTATCGTGTTTGCCATTACATTTGTCAGCGAGAAAAGTAAGTATTTTTCTTCAATATAAGATCATCTATGAAAGCAGCATTTTAACGAAAGCTTTTTCCACGTTGCTATTTCAGAACCGTACGTACGAAAGGACTCTGACATCCCACAAAAAAAATCTACACCTCAAAGTCCAGGGAGTCTCGGAGCAGAAAATTGCAGAAAATGAAAACTGCGAGAAAGTCTGAGATAGGGATGGAAGCGTACGAGGCGAGTAACCGGCGTTTATCGGCCAGGTGTTGACTCCGCCTTTGTCGAAAACGATGAAAAAAGCTGCGGACCCGCTCTAACGAATGCGGACCATGATACATTATTTAACCAGATGATGAATAGCGAACACTGAAGACGGAAAATACACTTCAGCCGTAATGGAGGCTCACGTCGATCAAGCCGCGAACGCAACTGTGGAAAATCCAGTCTTCATCGATGTACCGATCATCTTGAGAGCTATCGTGCTCTGTCTCCTTATACTCATCACTATCGTAGGTGAGTCTATTATTCTCTCTTCCGCTCACACAATATTTACTCCACGAAAAGAAAATCGTCATTCGTAGCAATAAATATTTTTTTTAATAAAAATTTTTGCAATTTTATTTTAATAATTATAAAATTAATATTAGCAAAAAAATTTTATTTATTTGCTCTTTGAATCCGCATTAATTTGATTTGCCTCAATTTTTAATGTAAAACGTGCGCAATTAAATAGCTGTTATATTATTTGTTAAGAAATCAACATTTTCTATATTTGTGAAAGAAATTAAAATATTTTTGGTACCATTCAATATCTATTATGATAAATATTTTAAGAAGTTATTTAAAAGTAAAATACAAATAAAATACCTACATCGCATGTATATAAATTATTCGCAACTGATTATCACTGTACACGCTTGTAAATCATAGTGGAAAACGAGAACGAGAACCGTAATTGAATAAATAATATGCCGCGTTTTCCCGTTCTCCCATACCACGAATATACATTACGTTACGCGATATTTTAACTTTGCTTTTTTAATTCAATGAATATGCCGATTCACTCTTCCGGATAAAACACTCGCGTAACACGAGACAATATTTTTCACAGAACGACCGCACGGAGTGTATTATAAAACCACGCAATTTCTCTCTGTATTTATTTTCTGACAATGCGAAAGATTCGGAATGTTGTTATACTAAAATATTATGCTAAAATTATGCGACAACAAGAAAGAGAGAAAATAAGATATATATAATATATATATAATGTACTTTTAACGTACAATTACTCATTTTTTTACGTTTTATATCTTGTGTTTTATATATATGGCCGTTTAACCCAATTAAAATGTCAGTGAGCCTCTTAACGTCGACTATCAGATATCGGTCTAAATTTTAAGTTAGTTCACGAGTTATTCGAAGCTCAGACTTCGATAGTAATAATATGGCGCATTCAGTGATTTAAATCGTCTGTTTGAATTGAAATATTTTTCAAACATCTCTGCTGAATATTATAGATATCATAAGTTTGCCATTTAAATAAAAAAATCGTAGTATTTAAGTAATTCAGAAAAGTAATTTGTTGAATAATTTTAAAATTTATCTTTGATGCATATATCAACATAAGCTTCTTAATCTTTATATTGTAAAGACTGTTATACCGCAACATAAGTTTTAAGTTAAACTACTTAAAAGTTCATGTTAAAAGTTAAGACACTTTTTAATTAATTATTATCAGTGAGTAGAAATAATGTCTTATTGGAGACATTTTGATGAATAGATAATTTTATTAGCACCGGCTAAATCTATGTATATATAATGAATCGGCTCATTCAAGCTGAAATCTAAAAAAAGGAATAAGATCCGTGTGCCTTAATTCGAAAATGATTGGGTCGATTTATCTCTCGTTCTTATTCGAACGCTCTCAGTGGTAATTAATGAAAATTGCCGACCCAAATTCGATGGGTCGTTTCCTTTTGCATGCCAAACTTCCGGTCCAACAGTGTCCGCGACGCAATTGAGCTCGCACCGCCTCGATTAATCGTTCTTCTTGTCGTAATTATATGCCGTCAAGTATCAAATAACTTCGCCCCCTCCGATCTTCACCAGCGTCATCGTGAAGGCGACCACCCGTTGGTAATAATCATCGGCGAGAACAATGGCAAAGATCGCTTCGACAACTGACACATCTCCAGGGCGTATAATATATCACCGAGCGGTGACGGTAATCACGATATCTAGTCGCATGCTTTGCGTGAAAGGAGTTTTCCGCGGGGAAAATGAGCTGACACTGCTTTTCGCGACTTGTATTTAATAACCCTTTTCTGCCAACCTGGCTCTCTCCCCTCCCCACCCGCGGATTCTTCTCAACACCGAGAATAATGGAACTCGTTTTAATACTAAAATCTCTGATTAATCATTATCAATCTAAAGGCATTTTAACGAGCAAAGCGTGATAAATGACTTTCGTCAGCTTCAGTCGAAGCTGATATTTGTCAAAGACATCGGCCGGCGATTGGCAAGTATGATTACCTAATAATGTGTCTGTAATCGTTACGTAAGATGTTTCATAATTGGCAGAAAATAAACATATATACGCAAAGTTATTTCTTGTGAAATAGGTTCTCAAGAAAATGAAAAGCGAATAGACCTTAGACTATAAATAATTGGTAGAATCTTGTTCCTTATTTGATTTAGTTTGCAATTTAAAAGTTAAATGTCTAACTGCTCATTGCACGCATTTGCGAAAATTATTTACTATTTAATTTTTGTTATAGTTAACCAGAGCCTCTTCGACCACGTATTGCTAACGCTAACGCGATACTTTAATCTAGAATTCCACGAATTGTTATAATCAATATCGTTTATTCGCAAACTTTGATTTCGCATCGATGTCACTCGCCATCTATTAAGTCTCGCGAAATAAATCTATGAACATCTCCCGCCTCCCAGCGGACCCGTATATTTCTCGAAAGAGGATAAAAGTTGTCGGAAAACAGGTAAGTTTATCGCTCCGCTGTAACGCCGTGGGTGGGTAACGATGTAACCAAGGAGGTTGCGAAAGAGATCCGCCGGCAGCTGTTGGATACATCCACACACGTATGCGCCCCCAGCGACTTGACAAGGCTCGAAGCGCATTCCAATATTAGTATAGTTCACTGGCTAACTAACAGTTCGTTGAACATGACGTCAGCTGCCGCGGATATGCCTGCTCTTTCTCTTTCTCTCCCCGGTATATAGGGTAAATTTTCCGAACGCTTGGCGAGGCACAAAACCGTGAATATCGTTGCGCAAATGTGAATAATCCCCTTTCCTTCCCCTTCCGTCACACAGTGATCACCGCAAATCGAGCGAAACTTCTCGAATGAGCGTTGCACCGACCGCATTCGTTCATCTCTCTTCGGGGACAACCGGAGCGCGTGATTTCGCACAAAGTTCGTGTTTGTCATTAGTGTACACGTGGAAGCAATTGACTACGAATGTGCGAAATCAAAAGTGACAGTTATTTGCGGAAAGGTCTAATGACATCGAAAAATAGTGATACATGTTCTTTCTTTTCCGATAATGTAAATCAAAAATTGATTGAAAAAGATAAAAAAAATACTTTAGATATCTATAATATAAATTATATGACGATGATTTTTACCAAAAAAAAATAGTTAAGTAAACATTGCATAATTTTAAAATGCGCACATGTATTAAAAATATTATTTATAATATGCACCGCGTGGAATATGAGAGAATATTTATTGTAGTTTTTGTTCGTGAAAGTAAAAGTGTTTCTACACTGAGAAAAAAAGTTGTTAATTTAACTAAATATTTTCAACTTATTATTATTTTTTTAATTAAAATATTTCTATATTTAAATTAAATACGACATATTAAATCTAACGTGACGTAATTCTCAAATACTTAAATATTTTAATTAAAAAAATAATAATCAGTTAAAAATATATATTTAGTCAAGTTAACAACTTTTTTTTCTCAGTGTAGATCATAAAGTCAAGAAATTCAATTGGTGTAAATATGCACATCACGTCCATTAGAGAGATCAAACGTTTAATTCAATTATACTTTGCCTCAATTGAATTACTAGCGTTAAACTTTTTTTAAAAAAATTGACTTTATTAGAAATACATGTTTGAGAAAAACATTTCTTGGTACACACCATGTATATGATGTTGACAGGCATCTCGTTCGTTCGTAAAAAAAAAAATAGCAAGCCGATAGGTTAGACCGCCGACGCGAACTGAATGTGTTACTACCCTGCCCTTCGATCCTATAAAGGTTAAACGATCCGATGCGAACACATAACGTACCCTGCATGAAGACGTAATCAGACATTTCCGATAGTTATCGTCTCGTGAGACTAGGGGCTGCATTTTCAATGAAACTAGGGGAAAAAATGTAGCCTTAGGCTGCAGCAATATATATATAAAATTGCTTCAACAATTACAAATATAAAAATATTAATTATTTCTGGTCATTGGGGTTGGAGAGAATAAGAGTGAACTGTTACATTTATAATTTTAAGGCTGCTGTAACGTCAAAGAGTGTAATATGCAATTTATTTACGCGTCGCCGCTCTATACCTGAAAATAAATGAGTTTCCGCGCGTATGACAACAGTCGTGATTGATAAAGCGCACTTGTAGCATTTGCCATCTACTCCGGTTTTGGTTTGTTAATCAATAAACGGCCATATAATACAATTCAAATCTGTCCTATGGAGCGGCAACGAAAACGAGTTACATGACTACACAGTTATTGGATAACAAACCATAACCGCAGTTTTCGGCACGTTTTACAGGTTCCACTTTACATCGATCGCACGTGTGGTCGTGTGAGAAATTCGTTTATCTCCGCGTAAACAACGAGAATAAATTATACATAATTTCCCCTTTGACGTGATAATTAAATAGCTAGCATAGATGTTAAATCGTGCATTTGAAGATTATGAGAGATACACATAGACATATGTACTACGAAACAGAAATTTGTACGAAGGATAAATTGGAAATAATCTAAGATAATAGGATAATACTAACTCAAACGTAATCTAAATCGCGTTAAATCGCGTTTCAATTTCTTTACGTCAATTTTTTTATCATCAAAATACTCTTTTATCCTACAAGGAATCAAAATTTAAAGGTAATCTTATCTCCTCAAAACCGTCTATTCTAATGTGTAATTATCTTTCCCATTAGCCACATTCCCAAAAGCTTTTATTATCTGCGACGAGAGCATCAGCTACTGTAATTTTTTGTTCCCTTAACAAGCTCGTTTGCATAAATCTGATGAATTTTTCGTATCATCTCTCTGCACGCAATTTGAGCGGACGCGAAATATGCATTTCGACTAGCGAAGCGCTCTTCGGCTTTCGGAAAAAAGGATTAGTGTTTTCGACGCTTAATACCCCTTTTCATTCTGTGGATCTTTTCGTCATCCGAAAAAGCTGCATCGATCTAAATCACGTTATTGCATGTCGAGTTTTGCGATATTTCCCAAAAGTGCGCTCACAACAATGCATATAGGAACCATCTCGCGGACGAAAATGATTGCCGCCGTCATAACACAATGATGGTCTGCGATAACAAGAGAATATTCTCGTTTTTTCAATCCATTTGAGAATTGAAATCGGTTTATGCATTTAACACGCTAACATTTTACACGTCACTTTGAATCTCATAAAACACTCGTAGCAATCAAAATAAATGTCGACCACAGTAATAATTATATTATAATCTTTATAGTTTATATAGCATTCTCCCCCTCTCTTACAATGTTAAATAAATTTAAGAATTAAAATTCTAAACAATAAAAAATTTTGTTTTAAGATTGTCAAGAAATAATATGTCATGAGACTGATTAAGTTTCAATTACAAAATATAAAAGAAAGAGAGAGAGAGAATATAGCATTTGTTGCATACTAAAAAATTTACAAATCATCAAAATCTGTATATTAATAACAAATATAAAAACACATATCGTTCATCAATCGATATCGTCACAATGCGTGGACAGAAGAATTATAAAATTCTTTTGCCGAGATGTCTTTGACAAAAAGCTCGCTAAAGAACTATGGCGTCAAGCCGGGCTTAGCACAGCAGATTAAAAACTGCAGACTGTAAGTTATTTCTTGACAAACAAGTCGCGCAACGCGCGTGTCTACTCACAGCCCTTCCCAGCTTATCCGTATAAAGCTTCGGACGGGAGTTCTTTTTTTTTTATGCTGCAAATACGCTCTTTAATGGAGTGCGAGAACGAGAGCGTTTAGATGATCCTCGCCAGCCCGCTGAAACATCTCTCGGTCCCGGCTCCTCCTTCTTCGCGGGAGTTAATTACGCCAAAGTAAAACGTCCTACCCGCGTTTCTTTTATCTGTCGCAGCCGCGGCGGTTATACTTTTCCCGTGGAGACATCCCGAGCGTGCAGCTGCAGCCGCAGCTGCGGCTGCGGCTACGGCTGAATCGCGGTGCATCTAGCACGCGCGTCTCCGTCGTTCTCGTCCAGCTGCGTCTGAATTGTACACAACCACCTTCGAGAGCTGTGTATTTGCAAATACGTAATGCGAAACTAATGGACGTGAAAGGGAAGAAATTTGCTCGACATTTGTAGAATTACTATCCTGTCGAACGCTTGTGTCGATTATTAGGGCGGTGCGGTGGATAGATAAAATAAAAGTACGAATTACGTGGCCCCGATCGTTTCTAGAAGTTGACTCGCTCTCTAATTTAAGCAAAGTCTATTGTAGTTTTCCCCCGAGAATTAAATTTAATTAGTACACGTCTAGGCTGCGTTATGTGGCCTTCAGAGACTTGGACTTACTTCCTCCATTTATTAAACTATTGCTTCTCAGAAATCCAACTAGATGGAGGATAAATATCCTCATAATTAATAATCTTTTTTATTTTACCTGCGAACGACTCTACTATTTTACTATTTAATATTATTATTTAGTAAAAATTAATTTGTGCAGTTCCTGCAAGATATCTGTAATTTTATTACTATTTACAAGAATACAACGCTATTTTGTATTATCCGCAAACAACAGTAGCGCGATTTCTCTTCTATTATGCGCGAAAAATCGAATGGAACATTGGTTGCCTGGATAAAATAAGAGACATGAAACACCCCGGGACGCAAAACGACACGATGTAATATCCACGAATATAGTGCACGGTAGCTTGAGCTTCTATCCACTTCCCTTAAACACGCTTAAACCGGCGGCGGTCGAGCACGTTTACGTAATGCATGAATGTAACATTGCGTTACGAATACATGAGTTCCTCCCGCGCTATACAGAGAAAACCGCGCGAATCTGAAAATTTTGATTACCTTCGAGTTTCGCGATTATACTAAAGTTTCATCAAGCCGCCAAAAAAGAGATTGCGCTTGTAATCTACTTAGACTTTTTTAATCCAAAAGTTAATCTCATTCTCTTTGCCATTTTCTTCTTCATGGCATTTTTAAGAACCGACTCTCCGCAGAGCAGAACGATTCACTTAGAAGTTGCATTTCTTATTGAACAGCAATTCGGGGACGCTATATAACGTTTCAAGTTTTAACGTGCAAGTTTTACGAACGGTGCAGTTTGATTCTATCTCTTTTCGTTATTTGAAGATATAACGGGAAAAATTCGAAGATTACGCAATATGTATAGATATAAAACGTGATAAGAGATATAATATGATTCTTTTGCAAGACTTGATATTTGTTTTCGCGTCGTCGGTCTCGGGATGTTTCTTCTCTTTCGCTGGCTACCTTCGACTGACCCTCGCATATGTCATGGTCAAGACATTTGGCCGACAGCCTCGCATTGTCCTGGGAGCGCGAGAACTCGATACGAGATACGATCCCGAGGAGCCGAGGAGCCGAGAGTGGCGATGGGCTCGGCGAACTCGGACAATTTTCGCGTAAATGCGCGCACGATCGATCCACATGCCCGTATAACACGTCTAGGAACGCACGACTGATTTCGTCTATTCCGAGTTTACCGAACTTGATTGCCGCCATTCAGGCCCGTCATCGGGATTAATGGCGACCAGCCCGAATTTGCCCTTTGCAATGCCAATTACCGGGACCATTATTAAAGTGTTGGAAGCGCGACAGGCGGCCGCGATCTCAATTTACTTAACGACTTCGCAATCCGCGTCGTTCAACGACGCGCGCATTTCGTAGAAGTTACAGCATCGGACTCCTCCCGTCCGCCTCTCGAATGCTGATTTCGCACATGCGATCTTGAAACTTGTCTATCGCGCCTCATCTCTTCCCTTTTTTATTATTTTCAAAAACAATTCTTGAGGGAATTTTATATGCCAGAGTTATGTTAACCGCAAGGAATTCAAAGCCGACGACAAAATATTTGCGGTATGTGTATCGAGCGAATTCCCGCCCAAAAAAGTTCCGCGCTCAACGAGAAAAATTAAATAATATAGGAAATTAAGTAACGAGTAATTACAACTGAGTAAAAATAAGTAATATGGTAATATAGTCGAGAAATACGCACTCACCCAAACACCGATGAGCAGCACTCGATCGCTTCTCTCGACTGAAAAGAATTAAATAATATAAGAAATTAAGTAACGAGTAATTAGAACTGAGCAATATAAGTAATAATCAAGGAATAATTACTCACCCAAACACACCGATGAGCGGCACTCGCCTCTCTCTCGACTGATCCACGGCGATTCCCTCGACGCTCCTCGACGCTCCTCGTCGTTCCTCAATGCGCCGGCGACATACACTTATCGTACCCGCGAATAATAACCACGCTGGAAATAACACGACGTGCGTTACAAATCTCGCACATCAACTCAACACGGCGGAGGACGATCGACGTCGAATCGTGCGACCGAATGAATGGATTGACCAGCGCGTTCACGCCTAGATTTACTTAGCGCTCCGAACTTGTCGCGCCCGACGCAAATTCAAGAAGGAACGCGCCAATATGGCGGCCGATCGTCCGTCCCGCGAATATAGAGAAGGAGCGCGCCAACATGGCGGCCGGTCGTCTCGCGAATATCGCCACAGTATAAGTATACGCGCGATCCCGACTAACCTGTCATGGCGGCGCAGCGCGGTGATCCCTCGACGGCCTCGACGCTCCGGTGCTCACCTCGACGCTCCTCGATCGCCCTGACGGCCCTGACGTCTCCCGGCGTCCTGAAAATCGAGACGATTATATCGGACGAACTCTCGACAAGTGGACGAAGCTAGAAGACGAACGGAGTGCGAAGTGGTAACCGCCGATCACGTATACCAAAAGACGCGATCAATCGCAGTCGCGCGGGCTGATTAATACGTCAAAACGATCGCCGGTCACTTACCTCGGTACTTCTAATCCTCGTTCGTACGCGAGACTCACTCGAAACGGACAAAGAGAAACGCAAAAACGCGGAGCAATCGCCACCCTGCTACGTACCGACGCCGGACGCCGGACACCGGCCGCTTCACTCTTCACTCGCGAGAATTGGAGAGCAATCATGTGACAGCGGCTAACTTCGCGATGCGGCAAGGTTCTTTCCTAACGGCGCGAAGTATTGACTCGAATAAAATATTATAGAACGAATATCTCTATTATATTATTACGTTAAAATATTTATAGAGAGATGAGTTATTTCAATCGTTATTATAGGGCCTCTAGTTTTTTACAGTGACACAACGTAGTTTGAGCCTAACATTCGAAATAAAAATTGAGATTTTCATATAATATATAATATACAGTATATTATATTTAAAAAAATAATTTTATTGGAAATCTTATTGAGTCTTTCCCTCTAACATTGCAAGTGTCATCCCTTTGATACATTTTAATACAAAAATAATTTTTGCATATTTATTAGAAGTTTAAAATAAAATAATTTAATAAAACATTATGAAAACAATACATTGTAAGTATTTTTATTTTTTATATAAAATATACATGTTATATAAACATGTAAGATATTTTTTAAAAATTTATCCTATTTCATACATTTTAAGCGTAAATCTAAACCAATAATATTAACGAGTAATATTACACGATAAATATTTAGAATTTTAAAAATCCGATTGAATATATTTGTCAAATTAAGGGGCTATCTGTTATTCTTTCTATCCCCTCTTAAAAAATGTATATTTTATTATTTTCACGTAATAATTCCTTATCTAATACGAGCAGAATAGCATTATTGTCGTCTATGCGGCTATTATACTCACGATGGTATACATGTTTTTGTTACAGGGAATCTGTTCGTGATAGCGGCTATCCTATTAGAGCGAAACTTGCAATCCGTAGCAAATTATTTAATTGTCAGTTTAGCTGTCGCGGATCTTATGGTCGCCTGCCTCGTTATGCCTCTCGGAGCTGTTTATGAGGTACGTAACTTATCATTGTATTAAGACTGTGAATTATTACCGTGCAACCCACCAATGTCGCAGCGAGCTACATCGGATATTTGACGAGAAAACGGTCACAATCGTAAAGTTTTTCGCGTTTGGAATGCGATAAAACGGAATGCGTTCTGTTAATAACTATCATTTTCATTGCAGGAATGTCTATCCCAGAAATCTCGAAATACGGACATTTTGCACCGACGTCTCTATAAAATTACAGTAAAACTGTAATAAAATATTAAATTAAATTGTAACTTGTAAAATGAGCGAGCCGAGACATAGTGTTACCTTTAACATTAGATTAAACAATTAGCTATATCGTCAGTAAAATACGTTTTATAGCACGTGTATTGAAGGACACGCGTGAATTTTACTGCATTTTACAGAGTGAACTGGCGAAATAAAAATTTTGCGAGTTTTTTAGTAGAACAGCCAAGCTACTAGCCATTCCCTTCACGTATACAAGTATCATTCTCTTTCCGCGCATTACACTCTCATTGTTAAACATTAACCTATGGCCCGTTGCAGCCATTCACAAGTTTATAACGTCCGTATAAGAAACCGCGCGTATATTCACGCTCGTTTCTTCCGCGTTTCTTTACGACACCTCGACATTGTACTTGGGAAAGAATCCGTGCGAGAGAGGAAACGAGCGTACGCATTCTCCGAGGATTCAGCACTTAAACATGGAATTCTTTTAACTTTGAAAGTTTGTTAATTGCGTCTTACGTTCTCACCGTGATACAAAATATCCTGAGAAAATGCTGTGCATGAACTGCAGCAATTTGTTCGAGTTTCACAAATTTTCGCGGAGAATATTTCAGTAATGAAGATAATTACCAGAAAATACGAATGTACGAAGAAAAATTCAACAATAATTTATTAACACGCGAGACTTCGCTTCGCGAAAGTTACGATAAAATTCGCAATCGACTCTACGTGCAGTAATTATGACGAGATAATTTGCAGTAACGTTCACTTTGTCATATGCGACAACACGTCGCGTAATTAAACGCTTAATATTATGTATCGTGATTTCGAGGAAATACACGTGGAATTTTAATGCGCGTATTTTATTAAAATTTTATCTCGATCGTGGCATTTTATAAATGCCATAATCTCGAAAAAGACTTTAATGTCACGACCGCGATCTTTACGAGCTAAAGTGCAGTTTTCTATACGCGGAGATATCTCTTTCGGTATGCCCAGCGCAAACGCAAACGATGAGGAGAACGTTGTTACACATATACATATTCAACAATTAACGTGCGAGTATACAGAGATAACAAGCGATATAGCGTATGTACATACGAATGATTAGCTTTCGATTCAGCCGTAGAGGAGCTCCGCCACGCTACGCCGCGCGCCGCCTGCATTTATACTTAATAAACGGTAGTAAAGTAAATAAGCAGAAACGGCAACATAATAGGAATAACATAAGCGCGTTAATTACCGGGGGCGCTTCGCGAGCTATATTTAATTAACAAGGATATTTCAGCGCAGATTACCGTGAGATAATACGTCCGAGCGCGGCCATCCTGCCGTATATCTTTAAATACGATCCGTGCTTTATTTTAAGCACGTCTCGCGTATTTGAAATACAGCAGAATTGATAAGCGTCAAGATTATATGCAGAAATTCGCGTTGATGATACGAATTTTACTACGATCGCGATCCACGTGAAAATATTTCCTTGCGCTCGCTCTTTCATTTCAGAATATATCCATTTAGCTTCATTACACGCAATAGCGGCCTTCTCGTCTAGCATGGAATCTTTCCGATATATATCCTTATTTAGATCCCTCCTTTTCCTAACGCAGCTTCTCGCATTTTATCATATACCTTGTCTCCTGTACGCGCGCTTCCGTAACTCTCAGCATTTTTTCCCTCTTCCCTTTTTCCTCGTTCTACTTTTCCCTCATATTAAATTTCCACACTCCGGCTACATTTTACGACACGCACCTGCGATTCACCCGTCTCGCTTTTCACAGACGTCTGCAGCGTAAAATAACTTTCTCTCTTCTCCCATCTCGTGTTCTTTAAGTCTGCTTCTTCATTGACGTATCGATATCCTTTCCGCGTTATATCGTTAATGTGGCGCAATTCTATTTCATCCACCGTTCAGGCAACGGCAGACGCATTAGCGATTTTTACCGCCTTATACTAGATCAACGGCACGCGCGCATCGCGCATCCATCCTCTTAACACGGACACATAGAAATTTATACGTCTGCCGTTTAATTCGAACATTTGATGGATGTCCGCTTTACAACCGCCTCTTTCGCCCGGCGTTTATCGGCGGACGCCCAGAAACGTGCACGCAAACGGCTTCATTAACTGCGCGTGTACACGCGACGCTTGATTAAACCCTTCGGAGACTTTAGAAGATGCTCGATACGAGAAGAATTGTTAAGAAGGGCTTTCGCTTTGTGTGCCATTATTGTCATAGTAATCGACTAATGCAAAGGTATAATTTCTCTGCCATTTTAATCAATTGCATCAATTGCGATCTATCCCAAAAGTTTCCGAACTCAACTTGAGAAGTTTAATACGGATATGTGTATGACACAGAAATGTCTTGCGTACCATTAATAATTTCACATATGATAGATCGTAGCGCACGGCCCCTTGTCGCGAGAATCTCGAGCGATCCTCGACGTTAAAACTGCTTCTCCATCAACTTTCGTATGCTACTTTTGAGAGGTGTTTATATTTCTGGAAGATGGATGCGACTCATCAACTTCCGGAATGTTCTAATCTCAAAGTATAAAGCAACGGATGTCTATGGGCGTAGGGGCCGCGGCGCTGGCTGTGCTGAAAGGAGGACAAGGGACGATTGGCTTTCGAAGATAGATTCCAATACCATGAATGGACTTTTAAGCAGGCATGCATCAGTTCCCTTCTCCGCTTTCTCGCCAGCTCTTCTATCACTCTTACCGCCACCCTTCCTGCGCTCTCCGTTGTCCTTCCGTCCACCATGGCTCGGCTGGGATGTTTTCCCTTTCGACCCTCAATCCGTATTTTCTCGTGCTCCCTACTACGTGGAAAACTGTCGCCCGAAACTATGTGCAATCCTTAACATACTAATCAACACCCCGAACGCATACTCAGGGCAAATAAAAATAAATTCTATTTACCCGACGAGATTTGATTCGTTATAACGTGCATATAAAAACTGGCAAAAATTGTTTTTTGCATATAAAATCATCATGAAAATATCGTGATGGAGATGAACAAATTAAATAGTTTTAAGAAAATTTACAGCGAAGAAAAATTAAATGTGCGATAGGTGTACACTGACGAAAAAGCAAAATTAAATTTGAATGTAGATTCTTTATTATTAAAGACAGATTTTGATTAATTTTTATTACGTAACAATTTATCAATTATGGTGTTATATCCTTAGTTTTAGAAAATGTTCTTATATCACTTTTATGGCCGCGGTAATAAGCGAAAAGGAACAATGGCCAATTAACTTCTGAGACAGTGAGGGACTTGCGATTCCCGTGGCCGCATCGATTTCTCGCTTGTGAGCTCGCACGACGCGCTAAGCTCACGCTTTTTGATAGATAATTCTGTTTATTGCAGATAAACTCGGCGTGGTCACTCGGTCCGGAGCTCTGCGACATGTGGACCAGCAGCGACGTTCTGTGCTGCACAGCTTCGATATTGCATCTGGTGGCTATCGCGGTCGACAGATATTGGGCAGTCACCGATATCAATTATATACAGGTTAATTAACGCTCTTGCGGTTATCGAGAGGAAGTCGGAAATTGTTCAGGATACGATGCGAACGATACGGTCTTCGTTATCCGCTGCCGTTGACACTGCCACTCACCACGCCACGCCACGAGATAGGGAAGCGCCGCGTGGGAGTTGACGCGATCGAGATCGCAACACACGGACGGAACTACATATCATCTCGCAGATCTCTTTGAATACCCAGAAGATCACTGTGACGCATCGAAATGCAATTTTATCAATTCGGCAAAATGACGTATATAGAATATGAATTGGGATTTGGCGAGCGAAAACGTGCATTACAGCTTTGCACCATGTAGCTGGAAAATTTCTCCACCGCTCTCATTAATTCTTCCTTCCTACAAATTTATACGCATTTTGTATTTACCGGAAGAGATTTAATCTTTTTCTCTTTTTTGGAATCTTCCTGCATTTTTAACATGCTTTCAATTTGAATAAACATCGTTCGTTTTATCATTTTACACTATCAAAAGTGTAATAAAAGTCCGATTCTTTTTCGGTATTCAAGTCTGCGAGACAGATATTTCAGTACACTCGGATCTATACACATATACTACGGAATAGGGTCATGAACGCGTTCATAAATTTTCGTCGAAAATTGGGCGAAGGCAAATTCAGCTCTCTCGTGCGCGCACGTTGATGTAACGAGAATTATATAGAGAACACTACTCATGAAGTATGAAAAAGGATAAGGCCATAAAGTGTGAGTGAAACGATCAGGACTTCCTGTCCATATATATATCTGATCAGTGTGAGATGAATATGTTACGTAATATCCTCGGCGTATACCCTCTCTCCCCTATGAATGGCTCAAAGTTAGTTCGGAATTAGCTGAAAACTCGATAAACTGCGTAGCGATCATCCCGATCAAATTTAACGGCTAACTTGCATTTCCCAACTGATGAAAAGAGGCGTATATCGATTCTCTCAACTGGCAAGTTGAGTCAATTATCTTAACAAATAATGCATGCGAGGAATTAGCTTGAGTCGTGTAACCGCCAAGAAAATACGCAGATAAAGCAGGCGCCGGGCCGCAATTTTCTCAAACGAGCGGAATAATACGTGTGCTCTCTTTTTTCTTTCCGTCTCTCGAAAAAAAACTAGGTTTACGAGCAAATCTAATTAAAAGTTTAATTTACTAGTACAAGACAGTGTGTTCTTAGTAGTGTACCAGGTTTTGCGGGAAGTATAAAATTTATCGGGCCAGTAAAGAGTGTTTTATTCTAACGGTCTATTCTAATTTAGAGTTCTACTAAATATATTATAACAATGGTAAAAATGTATAATGGCATAGCTTACATCTCCAACTTTGCACGAAAAATATATGGAAATTGTATCATAAATATTTAAGCGACATATACTAAAAATCAAGCCATTGAAACGTAGAAAAGAGTACGCAGAAAACGTTAGTTATTTAGTTAGTTTTACAACGATGAAATGACGGAATCATTAACGCGGCACTTCTATTTTAAGGCAAGGAATCCGAGAAGAATCGGCACAATGATCGTCACCGTGTGGGTGGTATCCTTAGGAATCTCATTAGCGCCTCAGCTCGGGTGGAAGGATCCTGATTATTTGGTCCGCATAGCCCAAGGGACGTGTCTCGTGTCGCAAGATCCTGCATATCAGGTGAGTGCTTCCGGAGAATTGCGAGCGGATCCGAAATACTTGATTAATATTCGCAACTGGGAATTGCACTCGTGTATTTGGCGGAAAGTGTTAACACTTCGAGGAACGTTATGCGGAATTTTGAGTTACTCCTAGTTTACGTCATAGACAGACTTTTGCCTTTCAGAAATTAGTTAATTAATAGAGATATAAAAATATGGTTATCTTAATGGGGATAAATTTACATTTTCTCTGTTCTCTCGCAAGATAAACGTTACTTTTAGATCTAAATTCCAATAATTTTTAATGTAGAAGTGTATGATGTATGACGAGGGAGGAACATTATATATTATTTAAAAAAATATATATATATGTATATTATCTTACAGATCTTCGCAACTTGCGCAACGTTTTATCTTCCACTACTAGTTATTTTATTCTTGTATTGGAGGATATTCCAAGCTGCTCGTAAGAGGATCAGGAAGAGGCCCGGCACCATTCTTCAGCCGCCGCGTGAACGAAGGGGCATCCTCAGGCTTGTCACGAGAAGGTTGTTGCCTTTTTGCTCCCTTCCTGGTTTTTTTTTGTCACAATGTCGGAATCCCTACCTAAATCTGAAACGTGTAATCGAACATGTCGCCTTTCGTAGTTGCAATAAACTTGAAGAGCTTGGGGAGTAACAACGCGCTAAGCCACGTAGAATAAATCTCACAGCCGAGCTGTTGAGAAATGAACGTAAATCCTTCGCAAGATTTAGTCCGCTCCCTTATATCTTGCCAAGAACATATTCTTTATAGGGTTCATAATTTAACTTGTAAATAAATATTTTTATAGCACCCAGTATTTTATCTCAAGTGGCTTAGCATGCTCTAAGCATTTTTATCTCAATGACCAGTGCAGGCCACGAGAATAAAGGTATGAGTTTACCTGTTGATCGTTCTGTCGTAAAAAGAACATTATTACTGCTTAATAGTTAGCATATCTTTTGAGCTCTATCGCCTTTAAAATGAATTATGTTATTAAATTACCATTAATATTATGTAACTATTTGCTTAACATTGCTCCAAAACAACGCTGTTGTAATTACTTATTTATTTTCAAACAAGTATGCATAATCTTGCATTTTCCTGCTATTTTTTTACATTTCTATTGAACAGAAAATAATTTCTCTATTTATTTATCTTGCTTCAAAATTCATCAAAAATACGCATAAACTCACAGACTAACTTACGTACTATTTTTTCTCTTCTCATATCAATGTTAATAATTATTAATATAATAATTAATTATAACTTTTCCATATTCTGTAGCTAACTGTAAAAATTAATATATCTTCTGCAACTATCCGAGAAATATCATATTTCAGTATTTATCAAGAAAAGAATATACAAGTACTATATAGCCACCCTTCCATCGCTTCTTCACAATCTCTTCTGTCGACGGCCTTTCATAAAGATTCTTAATATCGCCGACCCCGCGTCGTGTTTCAGCCACCGTCATTATTCGCGCGATAACGAGCTGAGAACGGATGAGCTTCTCTCTTTTTCTCTCCCTCTCTCACGGGCCACGGCCAACATAATTATGATTTATCTGATTGTAGGCCCCGCGAGGAGTCGACGGCATTTACCATCACGAGAACCACCCCGGACCACTCGTCCATCTCGCCGGAGAAGTCGTCGTCGTACAACGGCGCGAATGCCACACCGTCAACGACGGTGACGCCGACGGCGGTTTCGACGACGACAACGACCACCACCACGACGACGTTGACGAATCCGACCAGCACGAGCCAGCAGCAGCCGGTGGTCAAGTGTACGAAGCGTACACGCGAGACGATCGAGTCGAAGCGCGAGCGTAAGGCGGCGAAGACCCTGGCGATCATCACGGGTGCCTTCGTCGCCTGCTGGCTACCGTTCTTCTTCGCCGCGCTGCTGCAAGCCACATGCCGAACCTGCCAGCCACCAGAAATCGTGTCCAGTGTATTCCTGTGGCTCGGCTACTTCAACAGCACCCTCAACCCCGTTATTTATACTGTGTTCTCGCCGGAATTTCGGCAGGCATTCAAAAGGATGCTGTGCGGTGGTACGCGGGGACTTCGCTGACAGTGGATTTAATTCCTTTGCTCCGTGCGCGCGGCCGGATGAAGAGGATACGTGAAACTCTTGTACATATATGCAATATATACATATATATTGCAGCCGCTTGCTACCCAGCGTTTTCCTCGGTGTTGTGTAATATATCTGGATGCCCAACTCTGAATATTGTTACATTTAAGTGGATTCACTTGCGCGGTTACTTGCGATTTTAGGTGCGAGAGTGAGAGAAATCAGCAATTTTAATATTACATTTATTTTTAAATACTTTCTCAAATAATTCTCAAAAAAGTTGAGGATGTCTCATTTTCTAGTGCAATTATTATCTCCGTCTTGTTAATATATCCTCTGTTTTTATTAATGATGTAATATCTTCATCAATTTTAGGATATATTGTTCAAATCGTCTATCCTTGTACCAAGATCGATTCTGCCAGCATTAAGACACGACGGACAGTGTCCAACACAATATTGCTTTTTCCCTTTGCAGCTATTCCAGAGAATCAAGCCGCGCGCCGTTATTCTCGTAGATACTGTTAATGAGCATGACTCGTTCTCGTAAACAAAGCTAACCGAAATTCCACCGAAATTCGCGATTGACGTTAATTACAGTTAACGTTAATCGACGACGGCGGAGAACGATTCTATCTTAGAATATTTTTGCGAAACACTTCCCTAAATCGTCCGAAAAATCAAACGAACGACAATGCGACATTATTCGCGATTTTTTTTAAGCGGGCGAAAATATTGCATTGCACTAAACGGATATCGCTATTTATGAATTTAATTCGCCAGAATCGAAATTGGAGCACATTTTAACGCGTAAACTGGACGACACGCTTAGTGAGAAGAACTCTTGTCGCTCAAGAAATATAAATTTAAGCTATGATTATACATTTTTTTATTATACCTACTTATTATAATGTAAAGATGTGGATAAGCGAAGAGCCATATGAGTATCTAAGTAATATAGATGCTTAAAATTCACAATCTCTAATATTTTATTTAAACAAGAGAAATGTGGACGAAAACGTGGATGGCTCTATTAAAAGTTTCAGTTTGGTACCCATAGCATTTAACCATAATGTACGTACATAGTTGACATAATCGAAGTGAACGAAACACATCTCGTGTTTTGTCGTCCAGTGAAAATTCCTTGAGATGTGCTCTGATAATGCGAAAAGAAAATCGCGAGAGGTACTCTTGCTGAATCATAATTGTACAGTATTGTGTATAAGCGCGCGATAATGCTTAGCGATCATACTTCCGAGCATTACTGTTAAAATATAGCTATGTATAAAAATTTTCAATCTTGGCTTGTCTCCAAAGTACATACGTAATGACAAGTCTGAATGTACATTAATTGAAACCGCGACGAAACGAATACATTACGAATAGGTGATGCGACAGGATGGATTCGCGCCGATCTGTCGCGATCGTGTATAAAAATCTCACGTTTAAATAAGAACGCAACCTCAAGCTCGACTCATGATGCTAGATACATCTTACGCTTTTCACTTGATTCGGAAGTTAGAGAAGTACTCTTTGGGAAATTTCTCAAGTGCAAAAGATTTCTCGCCGCCTTACGAAGGTTTGCTTGCGCAACTTTTCTCGTACAGAGTTTTTTAATAAAGAAACTAAATAAGATATCCCCCACACAAGTAACAGAATTGAATAGAAAGGTCGCAATATTATCTTTAACGATGTCAGATTTATTTTCACGAATTACGCGTAATGTAAAGTATATAGATAATAACCATTAATGAGAAACGATTGAATAAATATAATAAGCGTAATAAGTACGAAGGAGAGGAGAACGTCGCAGTAAAATATCGCAATCTAAGCTTACATCGTGGATGCAATGTTAGAATCAAAAAATAATTTCACATTAATTATCCCTGTCTAAATTATATGATATATTACATATTGAAAATGTAATTTTAGCCTTGCCATTCAATTCTGCGTCTTATAACCGAAACGTAAGCCTTTGAATTTACGTAATAGTGTAGGATAACATCCAATACTATAATATTACTACATAACATGGCGGATGATGTTTAATTTACAGAGCAACGACTGATCGAAATCTGCGTACGCATATGAAATGAATAGGAATTGAAAAGCGACACACACTTTTCGTTTGTAATGTCTATATACTTCGAAATGCCGAAAGTGCACATGCGTTCATTTCGTTTCTACGTCAACTTACGAGCCACTAGACGCTCGCTACTTAGGAGTAAACATAGTTCTAGACTATTTATAATCTAATGTATTAGGCAGATTGTGATAAACGGCGACAATAGCTTTCTCGTCGTCAGAAATGACAAGATTTTATTTCATCCAATTTCCAAATAATACGAAATGGACGCTTTCTCGATCGCTTAGGGAAATTATAATAAATAAGAATACAAAAGACATATTTAAATTTACTTTTTATTCGTATATAACATTTACTGAACGTAAATATAGAATTTAAAAAAGAAAAAATTACTAATTAATAGATGTCCTTTCTTTTATCAACTCAAACTGCTTAAAATTGAAATTTGTGGTTAAATTCTTCTCATTTCTGACGACCATTGTTGCTGAAATGACGGCAATATCGGATACGCTTGCGCTATCTAATTATGTCACTGGTCGTCGTTTTACTCACACGACATGACTAATAAAATATAACATTTTCTTCACGTTCATTTTTTATGTAAGTCTCCATCAAGTAAGGCGGAAAAGTAAGACGTTGTCTGCCGAACATTTTTAGCAATTTCTAGGGGAGATTGGAAAGTCATCGTGGCATTGCGATAGCTCAAAAAACAAGAAAATATTATTTTATGATTATATTATTATTATTATTTAGGATTAAATTTACCGCGAAAGATTATAAAAGAGTAAATTTTTGTCAGGCAAGCGTTTAATTTTGCAGATCTAAATACTAGTTAAAAGACAGGAAACTCTGATAAAGGATCAATAGCGCTGCTCGGTGTACCGGACAAACAATGTTTGATGTGGTTAACACTCATTAATAACGTTCTGTCAAAGTGTCACAACAAAATTGATCGGGAGCAATTTGCGTTTGTGAAATGCAAAATAAGCTTTGGCGATATACGCGGTAAAATGTTCAGTGGATAACGGGATACCGGGTAGATCATGTACGCTTGTAAATCAACAAACAATCGTATCATCGATTGTTTGTCTTCTCGCAAATATTGCCTCGTGCAGGAGATACAGGCCAGGAAGACGTTAATGAAATTACGAAGCACGTTTAGACGAGAGAGCGTTTGCGGCAAAGCATCGAGATGAGGTGGATGGTAATCGGAAAGATAAATATTATCCAGCGAATTAAGTCTATAAGACCACGTAATCATCCAGACGATAACTTGTTGATATAAATGCCAGGTATGTTCATTTGAAGTATTATGGAAGCAAAGTATTATCGAGGAAAGTGAATAAGAGAGAAAAGAAAGGAAGTGAGAGAAAGCAGAGCAATAAAAAAGAATGAGAGATGGGAAGAGAGCGCGGATGACACCATGTATTTACAACGATGCTGTGTATTTGTCTTTGCAATCATAAACTGAAATAAATCACGGAAAAGTTTGGAGAAACTTGCTTGAATGGCTTCTCGCTGTGTTTGCAATATCAGCGATATCGATGTCTCGAGTTTCCCGCAATTCCATTACGGATTGTCGCAAAAGTAATTTCGTTTCTCATTTTTTTCTCATTCCATTATCCCCATTTATTCGACTTTTTCAATTACAATTTGTCATTTATGAGGCATCTTTTCAACTTCCATACTAGAGACAGCTAAGTAATATCAGAAAAATTGGAACCCATTTTTATATCTCACATTTCGCCTCTCCCTTGAACTTTCATTTATTATTTATATTACACAAATGAGATATGTATCGCAATCAGACAATCACGTTTAACGTTAAATGTAAAAGTAACGTAGAACTGTTTCTTTAGATGTCTTCTTTATGAAATCTTTTTAAACATTTGCATTTATTTGTAGGACGCTGTATATTTGAGATTTATTTCAGAAACGAGTTATCGCGTGATATGCGACGCATTAACGACACCGCAAGTCGATATTATATCCCCTTTCACACAGGATCGTTTGTGCATTATGGAGTTAATGTGCTATGCGACATCAAGATTATTATGGAATATCCCTCAACGCAATTACAAGGATTCTCCGAATAACGAATGATATATAGTGCATTTCATCCTGCCCCGTTGCATATACCAGTCCAAACATGTACCGCAGCTAAAACTGAGAAATGCAATCCTCGGAATATTAATGTGCTCTATAATTTACTTATCGCGTAGTGCCTCGTCTTCTTATCGTGCACAAAATATTACAAACCTGAATGGTATTTCAGAAATAGCTTCTTTAACGATGTGCAAGTTATTATATAAAAATAGAAAATTAGAATGAATCGAACTAATGAAGAAAAAATATCTTAAATTTTTTATTTAAAAAATTGGCTCAATTAAAAATAATTGAATTTATTGCTTGCACATCTAGCTATTTGTTTTTTTTTTATATAAAAATTATCTAAATTACTTATGACATTTCTATTGCATCTATAAGTCTTTCAAAATAAAGTTTCGCTACGTGGTAACAAAAAATTGAATCCAGGTGAGCAGTAATTCTTTTTTTATATGTATATCATTTTATTTGCTATATCATATAAAAACGCATATATACAAAAAAATGTAATTTAATATCACAGTTAAGAGATAGTACAGAATTATGTTTAATTTGTTCCGTCTGGTCGTGATCTGCCGGCTATTTTCGGCATCTTTTTGTTCGTTGAATCTTCTATTTCTTTAGGCTTATAATAATGAGGCGCTACTTCGAGCAACCATTTACTTTCGATTTCTGTCACCTACACAATACACATATATGCTTGAATCCCAATAAACTTACAAAATTAAATTTAGACAAATCAATTATTTTGTGTTGACATACTTGACGCATAAATTCCTTGGTAGTAAGGACAAGTTCATGATAAAGAAGCCAACGCGGAAGATCCTGGAACAAGGAACTATTTGGATGTATTGCGACTTGTTGATTATGCTTTGCAGTTTTGTAACAACCTCCTTTCGACAAGCGTGCCACATGGTAGAAATAACCAGCTGTAATAGCCTGAATACAAAAATATTTCCATTATTTTGCGAAGAAATCAATAATATCAGCACGTTGTAATGTTAACATACCTTTCTAATATTGACTGTTTCTGTAATTCCCGAGACCAATTCCATCTCGACACGCTGCATCAGGCCTACTAGCTGTTCTCTAACATCCCTCGCCCGTTTCATGGATCTAAAAGATAAATCAAATGTATTTTAACAAATAAAACTTGATAACAGATGCACAATATCGACTTACCTGTGCTGTATAAAATTTTCGTAACACCAATGTGTACTGAAGTCACTCTGTGCCCATTGATTGTACACATTAAGGAGAGTCAGATGATCACCGCCGGGTACGTGGAAATTCTTGCGCGCAGCATCGGCGTGTATAATTTTGTCCTTTGGCCTGTAAAAGATAGCGCCATTCACCGAAAGCATGGCCGCAATGGTGGCCACCTCTTCCGAGCAGCGATACTTCTCGCTAGCTAATAGCATCTTCGCCATCATCGGGTCCAGCGGGAACTCAGCCATTCTACGTCCGAGTTTTGTTAACTCTCCGCGATGGTTCAACGCGCCTAATGCGTACAGCTGTTCCATCGCCAATATCAACGTTTCGGGCGGTGGAGGATCCAAGAAATCAAAGTGCATCAAATCATCGATCCCGAGAGCTTTCAAGGTAAGTACTGCGTTACCTACAAACGTCATCGAAATATTTTGACAAATTAAATTTAAAGAAAATAAGTATATAACTTATAATTTTAGCAAGATACATCATTGATTCTTACCCAAGTTAATCCGTTGAATTTCAGGCACTGTATTATCTTCAAGCTCGTGCTGATAAGCCCAAGCTGTGTACAAGCGAAAGCACTTTCCAGGTGCTACTCTTCCCGCGCGTCCCGCTCTCTGATTCGCGGATGCTTTGCTGATCGGCACAACTATTAAACTCTCCATGCCGGTGCGTGGATTGAAATTGTTCTGCTTCGCGTAACCAGGATCTAACACGTATACTATATTGTCTATAGTTAATGACGTCTCCGCTATATTAGTCGCCAGTACAACCTTGAAAAGAAACAAAGATTTAAATTTCACACACGAACGATTTTGAAAAGTTGTCTAAGGAAAAGATTTTCTAAGGAAAATGTTACCTTCCTCGCGCCAGGTGGAGTCGGTTGAAATATTTTGATCTGCATATCGCTCGGTAAATTCGCATAAACAGGTAAAATCAAAAGTTCTGCCAATTTGCTCCCTAATCGTCTCACTCTTTCCTGCAACATTTCCTGACACGTCTCAATTTCTTCCTGCCCTGTATACAAAAATACATTTTATTATACCATACAATAGCATTTTAGATATCATACTACTTACCAGTCAGGAATACCAATATATCACCCGGCGGTTGCGTTATGTGAATTTGGATAATGGAGACTACACATGCCTCAATATAATCTGATTCTGGGGCTTTTGTGTAATAGATATCAACGGGAAAACGGCGTCCGGGTATCCTAAATATAGGAGCATCGTCGAAGAATTCACTGAACTTTGTGGCATCCAATGTAGCCGATGATATTAGCAGTTTCAAGTCGGGACGAAACCTCGCGATATCTTTCACCAGTCCAAACAAAATATCGGTGTGTAAAGTACGTTCGTGCGCTTCGTCGATTATCATTACGCTGAAACATGCAATAAAAAATAACTATTATCATAATTTATCAATATATTAAGATTTAAAGCCTGAACAGCATAAATAATTTTTAAGTAATAATAAGTTATTTGTAATTCTTTTTAAATTTTTTATTTTTCTCATGTTTTCTTCTTAATTACTCTTCTTGATTCTACAAGCAATGAATGTACCTGTATGACGCTAGATCAGGTTCACTGAGAAACTCTCGATGCAGTGTACCATCGGTCATGTATTTGACACGAGTACGTTGCGATGTGCAATCTTCAAAACGAATGGCATAGCCGACTTCATTGCCCAGCTTAACAGCCATTTCGTGGGCTACCCTCGCTGCCACTGACATGACCGCCACGCGCCGCGGTTGCGTGCACCCGATAATCTTACCGTCATCCGCAAATCCAGATTCGTACAGGTATTGTGGAATTTGCGTTGTCTTCCCTGATCCTGTCTCACCTTCTATTATTAAAACCTGAAATACAAATACGTAACATTCTCTGTATTCTCACATGGTGGTTTGATACCGTATACCCTAATATCTGTTTTTCACTTACCTGATGATCTTTGATAGCTCGTATCAAATCCTTTCTAAAGGGATAAATAGGTAGACTCTTCTTCGTCTCCTGTATCGTTTGCAAACTTTTAACATGCGCGGGAGGACTTTCCTCACGTTTCTTATCCTTATGTCCAGGCATATGTAGCACTTGAACAAATTCTATCATCTCATCCTCCATGAGAAGATTATATTCCTGTTGAGCTATAATAAAAGATTATACGATTACTTAAGAGAAAGACAGATCATATAAACAATATTATTTATCTTTAACAGTTTAGCATATATACCTTTCCTGTCTTTAGCACCAAAACGAAAAACAGCTGACGACATCTGATCTGATTCCCATTTGCTTTGCTCTGATTGCGGTGGTTCCTTGTCCGTTGTCGTGTCAGGTTCTGGTTCCATTTTACCCTCCTCAAGAGGCATGTGATAGCGCTGCATACGCTCGAGTTCCCTTGCTTTCTCATGCTCCTTCGCCAAGTGCAACAGTTGCTTCTTATGGGCTCTCTCTTGCTTTTCTTTCTCTGTTAAACTATATTAAAAAGATGGTTCTTAAATCAATAATTATATCCTAAAGATATTAATTCTATATACACATGATTTAGAGAGAATTACATGTTTTCATCAAATAGATATTCGTCGTCGAGGATATCGGCCTCCAACTCTGCAACTTTGTCCTCTTTACGTTTCTCCAGGTATTTCCTACGAGACTCGGTTCTCAATTTTGGTATCAGCTTATCTCTCGTATCAGTCTCCATAATTTTAAGCCTCTTTGCTGCTTCGGCTGCAAGTAATAACAAGCAATGAGTAACTTATCCTTGTTTTAACGTTCATAGATATTCTTTTAGCAATTTACCAGCCCCGGAACCAGCGGGCATGGCAACGTTGCGCCTCTTGCTTTCATCTTTGGCTTTGAGACGACTCGCAAAGCTGTCTCTCTCCTTAATATCCGTCTTGCGACGTTCCTCCTCGCTGTCCGTATCCTCACTCGACGTTTCTTCTCGCCTATATTTGCTCATTTTGGAAGGTGTTTTTTTTTTTTTTTTTTTTGGAGTTTGTTCTCTCGGTTGAGAGAAACTTAGTGCCTTCGGTCCCACCCCGGAACCATACGACACAACGATGCTTAACCCGGATTGTTTTGGAAGGTGTCGTAGGTCGTAGGTTAGGTCTGTGTCTCTTCTTATCCCAAACGCAGGAAAATAATTGTAGCGACAGATACCGCGTCCAGTTAAAAGTAAGTGTATAACTTGCACGACAAGTAATTGAAAAATTAAAATATATCAATATTTTTACAATACTGAAATCTTATTCTTTGTTAGCGTAACCGGCCGTTAGCCAGCTTGCAGTTTACTCCAGTTTACTCCACTCCGGTTACTCGCCAATCGCCATTGCTCGCCTGTGCTCGCCATTCGCAGTATTCGCACATGCTACGTCACGTGTTTGTGGCGCCATATTACGACTCTGTGTAAGATAAATTCATAATTTCCCACTGTCAATAAAATATTTTTATTGTTTAAATTAAAAAAAAAATAATAAAATCTTGGAATTCGGTTCTTTTTTAATGTAACTTTCTATTTTAAAAAAGTACAATATATTTCATATAACGCAAAGTATATATCTAGAATATATTTTATATAACACAAAATATATAAAGATCGATATATACGATCGACGTAGATATATCTCTACATATATATATACACGTTTATATTTATATCAAAATTTTTGTTGCAATTTGCGATTTGCATTTATATTAATAATTTACGCTGACTTTTAATTTTTAGGAAACTCCACTTAATTTCCTTCGCATTAGTTTAAATCGACGTTGAGGAAATAAATACTGCCCTCGCGCTGACCTCGTTGTCATCTTCCGCATTGTATTCACCGCCTACAACTGCATATAATGACAATATATGCTTGCAAATAATACATTTTCACGGTTGGCGTACCTTTGACGAAAAGGAAACAAGTATGGGAGAAAATACGAATAACGGGCGCGCGCGTTACATATCGATTTTGAGCCCGTGATGGCATCAGGTGTTGCAACAACCAGATGACGTTATACAAGAGCGTCGAACTTGCTAATAATAAACAAAATTTCAAAAAGACTATTCTATCAATTTATATACTGTTTCATTATTTTATTATTTGTTTTTTTATTCTTTAATTTTTAATTAATTCTCCCATGCGGATTTTGTAATTTCTATCATCTTCAAATATATAGCTGTCATATTCTAGAACAAGTATAGTTACGTAAACTAATCAACTAAGTAACAAATTTTACATTAGACATTCGCGCAAACTCCTCTTCGAAACAAATAAAAACAGAAGAGACATGTATATAACATCACAATTATAAGTCATCCATTTTATTACCCCAAATGGAAGAGTATAATATCAAAGAAATTCCTACATCTAGGTAAAGAATTAAGTACAATCGCAAGTCTCTTCTTTTACTAAGAGCAGTTTTACAATTGTAGACAGTGAGAATTAATTATCGGAATGTTAAACGAGATACATATTCTAATAGTCGCTTATTCGAAAGAACCGCAATCGCGTTATCGCGCTTTCGAAATTTAGATAAGCACGAAGGAAAAACGTATTCGAAGGATAAATGCTGTCCGACAACAGCTACGGCACTGCCTGTTCACCCGGCTCCCAGTCGCTCCTACGCTCGGCTCGGCTCGGCCGGCTCAGCGCCGCGCCGCGCCGCGTCAGTACATGCGGTCTCGCCGCGGCGTGCGGATTGTTCCTTCACGGAGGAGTATTCCTCGTCTACCCTGACAACCTCTCCTTCACTCTCGTTAACTTATTCCGCGTGCCGCGTTCTCGTAAGCATCTTCGTCTCCGTAAAAACCGTTTCGCGCTTTTAACACACACGAATTCCTTCGTCCTCCTCCTTCACTCAGGAGAATTCAGATCGAAAGGATCGAGGATCATGCCAGCGGACGCCGAACTCAGCAGCCTGCTCAGCAGACGGCAGAGGATCAACGACGAACTCGAAGAGGGCAAGGAGGTGAAGAAGCAGTACAAGTTCGTGAACGTTTACACGGAATTCCATGAGCTGTCGCGTCGCGAGATCAAGCAGTACGAGCAGACCTTCAACAGGTGAGCGTTTTCTAGCTCTTAATTTCTTCTATTTTCTTTTTACTTGTACGCGTCGTTGCAATTGAAAGATATATCAATAACGGCAGATCGAAGCTAACGTCGCCACAGCGACGCGTTTAATTATTCAAGGCTTTGATTCGGTACTCCGAAATAGAATTAAAAGGATTAAAAGAATGTCAGATTAAAAAGACTGATGCAATGAATAGTATATTTTTATTGTTACTTTATATTGCAGTATTAATATCAGAAAATAAAATACTGTTAATATAAATCTACATATAAGTATTAAAATATTTAATTAAATGTAATGCGGTATTTTGATAACAGAAAATAAAATACTGTTAATATAAATGTACGTTGAAGTATTACAATATTGAATTAAATTTAGTTATTTAATACATTTGCCTCTATATTTTTATATTATTATAAAATGTTCAAGTAAAACTTTTGGCTTTTTTTTCTCTTTTCTTTCGTTCTCTTGCTTATTTATTGGAATAAATTTAAATATGTTTTCATGACGCGAATGACAGTTTCGCTTAAACGTACCTGCGACTGTTCGAGCTATATATAGCATTATCAACTTAATAGGCGTACTCTGCCTAGCTGTTTATTTTTACGAGTCAGCCTGGACTATAACACGCACGTATAATCAGATGAAGATAAATGTTCCTTCGTGTCACGAAGTTTAAGTCGTCATCGAGACAAAATATTATTAGCGGCAAACACTTTCGAGTTAAACGGTCGCGTGATTGCGAGCAAACTTATTCTATCTGTATATAACCAATATCGCCGAGAAATATCATTCAACCTGTTTCAGTTTCAGTGACTTACTCAGTGAGTCATAAAAAAATCTTATCAAGATTTATTTAACTCGTCGAAAATACAGCGTAATTTAAAGGAGCGGTATAACGCGCGGTATCTATTTCTTATCTAACGTGCTTACCTTATTTATATATAATTACATATTCATTCTTTATTTAGAATTGCCGTCCGGAGTAACGACGGAAGAAAATTCAATTATTATACGTACGAATTTTCTTTTTACCAGCTCGATCAAGCTTCAAGTGTTCCGAGTACAATCTCGGAGATCGACTGCACCGATTTGTGATGCGGCTGCGCGTCAAGCTGCACGCGATATCATCACGTTAATAAACGTTGTTGTCTATACGAGCCGCGGGTTTCTCTCGCACGCGGTACGTCTTCATTAGAATCCCTTTGCGGATTCTCGGTTTAGAATAGAAGAACCCTCTCACGCGACGTCTCGCGAGATTTCCTAGTTAATCTGACAACGTCCCGCTGCGCGCTATCATCGCCGCTTAATCGCCCCATCGCGCTCACCTTTTGCGATAACGGACTTCATTACGGAACCCACGAAACTGTCTGTCATTTAGGCGTTGCGGCAAAATTATAAATAGCTGCGTAGGAGACGCCCAAATAGCCGAATGTATTCCCAATAGTCCAAGCTTCATTCTTCACTAGACGATGTATGATTTATGTGTATGATGTGTGTGTGTGTGTGATTTATTTAAATTTCAAATAGATCGCTCTCTGTGTCACGTTCGTTCTTACCTTTGCAATAGGCGTTGAAGGTATACCTGAGTACCCGGAGCACCCACCCTACTTCTCCGACCGTTGTCAAACCTGCTACCACGTTGACTTCGAAATTCCTACCTACTCTGAGACACAAAGGGCGTAGGGTACCGGGGACCGTGACGAGGGGGACGCGGTATGGGGCCCGCAGGGACCCCGAGCCCCGAGGCCCGAGGTCGTCTGCCCTCTTCGTGCAGCTTGCGTTTCTTCTCTCGAAGAAATGCACGTCACGAATCTCTCGGCGTTCGTGGTTTCGTAATGACCGAGCGTGCAATTCTCCACGATTCTCCCTGCGATTTCCTTTTTTTCTCTCGGCGCACCTTATTCGTCGGAAAACTACGTCTCCGTGTTTTTACGTTCTCCGCTGATAAATCTCAAAAAACGTGTTATAGCCAGCGGCGATCGTGGAAGGTACATTGCTGAACGCGTGTCGATTTTCCAAGAACGTAGTTCGTTCCTTGTTACGAGGTCACGGAAAATCTAGAAATAGAAAATGTGACAAACAGCTAAATTAAGAAGTGAATTGATAAATTAAATTTATGAAACAGAAATCGGAAATTGCAGATCTTATCTCGCATTTATTATTTCAAAATTATTATTCTAGGCGCATCGCGGGTAAGTTTTAAATGAAAGATGTATACAAAAAAACTCAGACAAAAGGTTAATTTATATTCTCGGGAGAGTTAAAAATGTGACCCTGACCCTTCGCTCGACGGTGAACCATTTAATATTAATTCCGAGTCGGTGATATCGCGCGCAGCGAGAGGAAGAGAAGAGGGAGAAGAGGGAACGCAGGCATTTCGGAGAAAATATGTCGCCTACGATTTATCGAGGCCCGAGGTTGCAAAGATAACCGGTTTCGCGGCGAAAAGACAAGGACGACTTCTCGACACGAGCGCACAACAATCATCGGTCCTTCCGGATGACGGATCGCAGCACGCACACGCAGGATATACGCACGTGCGCGCTGCGGGCGCAACGGAGAAACTCTCGTGCCGTTCTCGAGAGGCTTTTTTCCCTCGCGGGTATTTAAACAGAAAGCAAAAGTCAATCACCTGTCAGTATCTAGGAACCAAATTGATTGCAGTTTGCGAAGTAGAGCATTACGTAAAGAGTGCGAGGGAATAAAATGAATATTCTAGCTTATACATATGTATATATATGTACATATACATATCAAAATATCAGCCAGCGTATCGTTTACTTATCGCTTCATTAAAATGCATCAATTCCCGATTAATACCCACATAATCTCTCGATCGATCGTTTGGATTTTAGATTTGATGCTTGCTGCATCGTAGAAAATTTCACGATTTATTCGGAGCAGAAGCATGGCTATCAAGTCTGCTCATCGTGGCTTATCGACAATCCGATATGAACGTGTCACGTCTTTTCTTTCCGTATTAAAGTTCGAAAGGAACGTAAAAATAATTATTTTCTTCAACGGTAACCCGATATATTAACCGGCCAGACGTTCTGTCGCCGATCAGACTAAATATACGTTGTCTCACTGCGGTTTTAAGTTCGGTGATATGCGATAGTACTCGGATGCGTCCACGTAGGCTGCGGTTGCATTATCTATCCAACATTTCCTGCACCGGGGACTGACAGAGTCGAAAGTGTTTGCTCTTCGCCGGGTTCGCTATCCTCGACGAATTTCCTCCTCAGAGAATTCAGAGGAAGCTGATTGGTAGACCCGAAATCGGATCCCATGGCTGACCCTCCGGTCGGGTCGTGGACCGAAGAGACTCGCGTCTCAATTAACCGCTTAAATCCTATAACTAATTTAAAGAGCTCGGAAGCCGGTGTAACATCCGCTGTCCCGGTTGACCCTTTCATCCTGTACTGTTGCCGAATGTAGTGTTCCGGTCACTTAATTGGAAACATTTAATTCTCAATCAAAAAGCAATCGATATACGTGTAAATAATTCTATTTTCTGTCGTTTAGAAATTAATATCTGTACTTTTTTTAAATATTGTATGTTAATGGTATCAACTAATGTTATCTGTTTTGATAAAATAGAGGAATAGGAATAGAAATAGAAGAATACGTTCGTACTCTTTATTGAGAAACTTCTATCGACCTGCACTGCGACTCGCGCGAGGTCGAAAGTCGAGGTTTCCACGGCTCGATTGAACGCGCGCTTAACTTTCCCCATCGCAATGATACAGCGAGGTGTGTGATCGATTCGCTTTTATACGTATAAGCGAGGAACGATGACCTTAACCCTTTCGCCGCTGAAGTAGGTGAATGCATACATGCATTCAAGAGACGTAAGTATATTCTCGGAATCGATAACTCCGCGCAAAAGGCAACGAATGCTACGCAAAAACGAATATCCATCTCCAAATGAAGCCTTGTGTTAATCTCAAAACTTTCGCAATTTTTCCAACGTATTCACGAGGAATATTTCGCGCAGAAATATCTTCTCGCGTACTGCGATTCCCGGACCATCTGTTAAGAAATAATTAGATAGAAATATTTCGATAAGATATTTTAATATAGCTTCTTACATTTTTTCATCTCCATCAAAGGTTCGAATAATTTTTAGATGCCTGCATTGACACGACAAACCGTTATCTGTCGTTCGAAGAAATCGCGCGTTCCGAATATACAAACGGCATAAGAATTTATTCTACGGCTCGGCTCGCAGCGATGAAAGGCATTCGGTATTCCTAACAGTGATATTGTTAGACGTTTTCAATAATGTTTCGTTGATGGGAAAAGGCACAGCGTTTTTCATGGACGACGTTTACCCCCGTTTAGGAGACGCTTCCACGGTTCACAAAGCGCGTTGCGATTCCTTCAGTTTTGCAGAATTCTAATCTGTACGCCGCGCGCCGCGCCGTACGAACTTCTCTCTCCGCAATCTCACATACTAACAATAAGTTAGTTGCTGTGTAGAGAAAAGATACTAATTAGTTATTAGAATAGACGGAAGCTTTGAGAACGGAAAAAAATCCAACACGTTTCTTTACTTAAACGGGACGATAACTTCTTCTTGCGCGGTAAAGCAGTATTTATTATCTGCAATGTAATGCGATGGTTAACAAAAGATGTTAATCAACTATTGAAATCCTTAGGCTTTCGGAATAAGCGTGAAATATGAATTTAATCTTGATATTTTATTAATCGGGACAACTTTCATTTCACACGTCAAATTAACGTTATCCTTTGCAATCTCACATATAGTAACAACTAGTAAAAGAAATATGTTACCCCTCTATTAAATGTTGTATAAAGTGTTGAAATTTACACAAATCAAGAAAATATATTTTTTAAACGGGACTATTATTTTTCCACATTGAAATATCATTTATCGCAATTTTCGGTTCCACACATTGTTGATCGCTCAATCCCGCAAATCTCCATTTCTCCTTGAAAATTTCTCGGAAAATTACAGCTATAT